AACCCAGGTGACTCAGGTGAGATGGGTTTTAGTCCTCTGTTGCTAAATAATTGTGTTGCCAGGGAAAGCTATTTAACTTCTGGGAACACCAGTTTTCTTGTCAGTAAAAAGGGACAATTACTAGCTTCCCTGCATATTTGACAAAGTGGGAAGCACTGTGGGAAAGTAAAAAACACTAGAGAAATAGAAGTAATAATTTAAATCAGCAAACTGTGACTTAAAACAATGAAATAGCAAATGTTATAGACACAACTCCCAAATACCAGTTTTTTTCTAAGAACTTTCGTTAGGAATTCATGCTAAGAAAACAATGAAAGGAATATATGAAAATGTTCATCAGAGCATTACCAATAATGATGAAATATTGGGAGTAAGCTAAACATCCAACAATAGGGGACTGGCTAATTAAATGATGTTATGGCTATTTCAAGGAATTCCATACCTCTATGAAAATCCACAACATGTTGTGAAGTAAAAAAATTGCAGGTTATAAAACAGTATAACCTATGGTTACATGGCCTCATTCTTTGGTTTTGTGGAAATAAATTACGTATATAGGAAAAATTGTGTGTAGATAAAACATTAATAATGATTATTTCTGACAGGGTAGAATATGGATGATTTTGGGGGGGTGGTTTTGTGTGTTCTTAAAGTTTTCTGTATAAACAACATACAACTTTTTTATTAGAAAGATATGTATGTATAATCTCTATCTCTTTCTATCTTCCCATATTATTGATTCTCCATCTGGGCATTTTCTCTCCACCCTCCCCTCTCCACCCTCCACCCCAGTGAACATCTGGCAATGTCTGAAGTTATTTTTGGCTGTCACAACTTGGAGATATTACTGGCATCAGGTAGGTAGAGGCCAGGGATCCTGCTAAACATCCTGCAATGCCCAGTGCAGCCCCCACAACAAAGAATTATCTGGCCAAAATGTCAATAGCACCAAGGTTGAGGAGCCCTGTGCCTATCCATCCTAGGTCAGATTTCTGTTGTTGGTCTCACACAACTCAGGAGAGCTGTCCATGGTGGTCTCTGTAGGTAAGGTTCACTCTCCTCTCACTTTCTTCTTTCCATTGGATCTTCTCTTCCGTCCAGCCTATGGAATCTCGCCTTGTCTGAAAGCTAGAAGGGAAGCTATTTTTTCCCAACCTATTGTTCAGGATATGCTGTGGCTTTTTGATATTCAAAAACTTGGCTTCTGGGTCTCAGAAACCCTTTCAAAACTATTATCTCCGGCATGGGTTTCAGCGGCCTATTTTGAAACTCATAAGCCGTGGCTTTGTGTCTTTGTTCTCCGAGTTTTGCTTTGGTACATTTTCCCCTAGGGTTGTAAGCATACTGTCTAGCTGCTTGAATTTGTTGTGGGTGAGAATAGGAAGTAGGGTCATGGACTAAAAAGAAGTACAAGGGAATATTTTAAAAATCATCTCAGCACATGTATTTACTACTTAAAATTTATGTCAGTGTGTGCTAATAACCTTACAAAATAAAGTGCTGACATGATGAATCACACTTTACTTTTTATTTGTGGCTCTTAAAAATCTTATTAAAATGTTAGAATGTTCTGAATTCACCAGGGGCAAAATCAACTCAGTGTGGAACCTTGTTTATCACAACTGAGTGAAAGTGTTGCTTTGAGGATCACCCTATTCAACCTGACACCCATTCCTTGTTATTCTCTGTCTCATTCTCTTCAGCCTGGCCCTATATGCCTGTGCCAATTTGCAAGATTTATTTAGAAATTCATGTGTAAAAGGGAGATTCTCTTGAAATTTTCAGGCTGGGTGCAATGTGAAGATATGCAGCATAAGCGTGGCAGGAAAATTACCAAGTCCTACAAAACAAACTATTTGAGGTTTCTTTCATATTATGGCACCTAGAAGCATGATCACTGTTATCTCCACCAATTCTACCTCAACCTCCCTTTTGCTGAGAGAGTACATAATGTGTGGAACCTTGCTGAGAGTGAGCACTAATAGGCAAGGGCTATCACAGCTATTCCCTATCTGTGATCCTTCCCTGTGATCCTGCTCCTTCCCAAGGCTTTAGTGAATATCTCTAGGAGTCTAAGTAGATAGATGATTTCCAAATCTGTGCCTTCATCCCAGATTTTTCTATGCTACTCAAGGTTCTGAGGAATCTTGTAGTAGAAGGAATGCACATTTTTGACTTAGAGACTTTCTACCTTGAGAAATCACATTAAGAAAAATCAGATAGGTTCTCTGAACCTCAGTTTATCATCTGTAAAGTGGAGAGAATTAAAGATTCTCTAAAGGAGTTATTACAATAAGGAAATGAGATAATGTGGGTAAAAGCACCAAATGTGTTAGTCATTTCTTACCTGGAAGCCCCAATGAGATCACAAAATTTCCAGACACTGGAACTCCCAGTAAACTGGGTCAGGGACTCCCTGAACCTTTTCTTTCAGAGGTAATATGGTCTCAGAGTCAATGTTTCTCTCTGCTCTGATCTCTAATTCTGTAGATTGGCTTCTTCATAACTTCAACTGCATATTGCCTATAAGGATCTGTCATATAATTTAGTTCATCTGCTACAAATAAATGGCTCAGTCTCTTGGGCTCCCCCCTTTTTTTGTGGGGGATCCCATTTTCCAATTCCAGGGAAGAAAATTGTGATTGGTTCATGCCACTTTTCTAGCTAGACCACGTGAGTCAGAAATACTGGATGATAGTTCTAGGCTTAGAAGCCCAAACTAATCTAGTTAGCTGTTGTCATATGGGTTGGTCAATCAGGGCATTGCTTTGGGCAGACTCCTAGAATGGACATTAGTTATTGTCTCCTTCTTTTGGAGGAATTTATAACTGTGTGAGTATAGTGGGACTGCTATTCATGTCCTATATCTTGCCTGGGTATGGGGATAGGCTTTTAAAACAAGCTGGCCTGGATTTCTTTAATTTGAAGCCAGAGGAGAATTCTTGTTGAATTTAGGGTCATATTGCTGGATATGGCTCGGAGCTGTTGAAGGATATCTTTCTTGCCTTTTGGAAGAAACCTTCTCTTAGTAAGAGAGAATGAGGCCAATCCATACAAAAGAACAAAGTCAAGAGATGGGGAAGAAATACACATTCATGCCCTTTCTTTTTTTTTTTTTAAGATTTTATTTATTTATTTGAGAGAGAATGAGAGAGAGCACATGAGAGGGGGGAGGGCCAGAGGGAGAAGCAGACTCCCCGCTGAGCAGGGAGCCCGATCGATGCGGGACTTGATCCAGGGACTCCAGGATCATGACCTGAGCCGAAGGCAGTCGCCCAACCAACTGAGCCACCCAGGCACCCCATGCTCTTTCTTGAATACCAGTATCTAGCTACATTTCTAGAGCATCTCAGTTATGGAAACAGCTGCCTCTTTTTGCCTCTGTCCGTCTGTGTTGAGTTTCTGTCACTTACAATCAAGGATTCTGGCTGGGACACTTTCTCAGAAGGGGTTGTTTGGCAGGCAGGCAAATGTCTAGTACTGCAACTTGCTTGAAATCCATGGGATTTGAGGCCCCTGATAGATTTGGCTTCCCTGATGGGTAAGTCCCTGATCGAGAGTATTCCAAATGTCAGATGTCCAACTGAAGCCTCTTAAATCCTACTTTAACATTTATGACCTTTGACTAAATAATGTTGTTTCAAGGTAGAGGCAAAATATTCAAGTCCAAAAATAAAAGTCGAAGGGCATGTGAGTTTTGCTGCCTGTACTAAAATAGAGCAGATGGAAAGAAAGTTGGAATAAAACCCAGTGCTTATTTTTCTGTTTTCTCCAAAACTTTCCTCTAGAAGTCTAGGAGAGTCGATAGGACAAGTAAGGACTGGAAATGTTAATATTTCCACCATAAGTTTGCCATAATCTCAACCTGCATGATATAAGCACAGCATCCTTGGAATCCAAGTTCCAAAGATACTTGATGACCTTCCTCTCTTTGCCATCATCCTCATCCAGATTGAGTCTTTTCAGAGGAAGCTGAGTTGGTGAACAGGGGAGGAAGAGATTCTCAGTACATGTTGTCAATCAGTGTAATGTGGGGTGGTTGCTCCTAAGAGTGCAGAGTTAGAAAGGGAAGAATGTTGGGGCGCCTGGGTGGCTCAGTTGGTTGGGCATCTGCCTTCAGCTCTGGTCATGATCCCAGGATCCTGGGATCGGACCCACATTGTTGGGCACCGTGCTCAGCGGGGAGGCTGCTTCTCCCTCTCTGGCTCCCCAGATTGTGTTTTTTATTTCTCTCTCTGTCAAATGGATAGATGAAATCTTTAAAAAAAAAGAAAGAAAAAGAAAAGGAAAAAGAAAGGAAAGAACATTAATAATGGAGCCAGGCTAGACACATGGTGGGATACAAATGTAACTCCAAACCCTGTTTTTCCTCAGAATAGTATTCTCATCAGCCTATCACTGGTCAAGCATTTCTGCATTTCTGCCAATACAGTCTCTCCTATGTTTAAAAATTTCAGCCTCTTTCCTGATTTTGCTGGACCTCGCCTCAATTTTGCTATATGCCTGAATTATTATTACTATTATCATTGTATTTTTCTTAATTGGTGTCACCTTTTATTTTAATCTCATTCTAAATAACAATATCCATGAAATCTCAAGTTTGGTGTTTTCATTTAGCTTCTCCCCCTCCAGTATCCATTACAATAAATTAAAACTATTAAAATAATCCTTCTGTGTATCACCCAAAATAATTTTGTAAGAAAACTGTGAGATGCAAACCACAGTTTGGAAAAAAAAAAACAACAACCCTAAGTTAATATTCTGTTTCTTGTGTTACTGCACATATATGTTAAGCCTGGTAAGCTTTGATACAAATTGAATTACACCTCACATTTTAAGCTTTAAAATTTTGCCAGTTTTGATTAATTTAGGAGAATTTCTGTTAGTTTAAAACATTTTTAGATTGTGGCAAAATACACATAACACAAAGTTTACCACCTTAAGCATTTTTTTTTTAAAAGATTTATTTATTTATTTATTTGACACAGAGAGACACAGCGAGAGAGGGAACACAAGCAGGGGGAGTGGGAGAGGGAGAAGCAGGCTCCCCGCAGAGCAGGGAGCCCGATGCGAGACTCGATCCAAGGACCCTGGGATCATGACCTGAGCTGAAGGCAGTCGCTTAACCAACTGAGCCACCCAGGCGCCCCCACCTTAAGCATTCTTAAGGGTAGCGTTGAGTGGTGGTAAGTGTATTCATGTTGTGTTGCAATCATCACCACTATCCATCTCCAGAACTCTTTTCATCTAGCTGAAACTCCATACCCTAACTCTGTACCCTAAACACTAACTGCCCATTCTCCCCTCTCTCTATCGTCTGCAACTACCATTCTACTTTCTGTCTGGACAAACTGACCACTCTAGGTACCGCATATAAGTGGAATTATATGGTAGATGTCTTTTTTGACTGGCTTATTCCACTTAGCATAATGTCCTCCATGTTCATCCTTCTAGGAGCATGTAGCAGGATATCCTTCCTTTTAAAGGCTAGATAATATTGTATTGTATGTGCATACCACATTTTGTTTATCCATTCAAGGACACTTGAGTTGCTTCTAGCTTTTGGCTATGTGTATACTACTGCAATGAACATGGATGTACAAATTTGACAGACAAAATTTTAAATGAATTCATAAAAGAATCAGTGAAAAAAATAAATTAATGAGTGACAATGGGGTCTTCTGGGGAGCTGGGGGCAATATGACCACATTGGGAGATGGTGGGTGGAAGGGATGGGGAAAAAAAATAGTACCAAACGAGTATTATTTCTTTGATGGTTCTACTCGAGGCTGGTCCTGCTCGGAGCTAGCTCATAGTACTCCATGCAACAGCTCTTGTGTGATCTCTAAAAATGCCCTCCCACTGTGGTTTCATAAATCCTTCTTATGCTAATTTGCCCTGAAGTGCTGTTCTTTTCCAGGGCATAAATTATTGAGGCAGTTGTGGTCAGTGAAGGGAAGGATAGTGAAACCCACCTGAGCCTTCCAAAGCAAACAGCCAGACACCTTGTCTGGGTTCCAGAAGTTTAAAGCAAGCCTGACCAAACCATCCCAGGCAGGAAGTCATTTCACAGCTAAAACGGCTGCCCACTTCCTAAGTGAGGCCTGGGGGAGGGGGTGAGTCTGGGATGCAATGAGAGATACCTCACATCTTCTCACCATTGCAAGTTTCCCGGGCTTTTTCCCTGACCAAGACTGTAGGGAAGCTGCTAGAATAGAAAGTGATTCACAAAGACCGGCTGAAGCCATTTTTAGATGTTCACTCTCAGGGAGGAGAGCCTATTAGTATCTGTGTGAAGAGGCTAAAGCTGGCGTTCCACATCGTGCCCAGCATTTGGTTTGGCAGGGGGGCATTTTTGAGTGAGGGGAGGGACCCCCTTTGTGTTGGGGAGTGTCAGTGTGTGAGGTAGGGATGTCTGAAAAGGCAGGCTGAGCTCAAGAAGCTTGACTCACATTTCCTCAGAGGGTGCTTGAAAAACAGGCTGAAAACAAAAAAAATCTATCAGTCATTTCATTTTTCAAAGTTCTTGCAGTTCCCAGTTTGAAGTAAGGGAAAGCAAAGCAAATATCTGCCTAGAAAAGTGAACTTGAAAGCTAGAGGGCTGGGGTAAATAGGAAAAAAAAAGTCAGAAAACAGTGCTTTGAAAATTTCAAAAAACAAATGCAAAGGAATGCACAAATGCTTTTTGCTTCCTGCTCGCCTGCCCCCGCAAAAGCCTTGCAGTTCAAAGAGACTGGCTCAAGGCCTAAGTCTGCCATCACATAGCAGTTTCAACTGTGGGCATATTACTTAACCTTTCTGGAGCCTCGGTTTTCCCATCTGTGGAATGGATGTTCTATATAAGAGAACTTACGTCCTAGGGTTGTGAGGATAACAATCCACGTGAAGCACTTAGCATCGCGAACCACACACAATCCCCCGTTTAATGGTAATTAGTATTCTTATGAGTCTCCTAAGTAAAAATTACATTCGAAGTTCATGAGCACTGCACAATTTTAAAACTGAAGCTTCACTTGATAATAAGAAGATTTTATGAACGGGCCTCATAGAGTTAGAATTTTCCTTCTCACGCACAGTTGGTTATCAGTAGATTGAATTAATCCCCAGGATGTGCCCAACAGATGCTACAAATATGGAAAATAAACACAATGTCTAAGTCCTGTGGTATCACCGTCTACAAATACAGAGGCACGTCAGAGGGTGTATTGTGAGTGTGCGTGTGCTGTTGGGACAACCTTCACAGGGTCTTTTGTAAGAAGAGAAATAATTGGACCCCATTTTTATGAAGCAGATATTTATTGATTTTTGCACTACCTCAGAGGATGCAAAATCGGTGATAAAGAGAGAAAGGAAGGGTGTTATAGAATGAATGGCAGGGATTTTTTTTTTTTTTTTTTTTTTTTAACAAGAGGGATTGTTATCTTTGCCTAGAACAGTTTTTACCAGCTCTTTGCTTGGATGGCTTTCTGTCACTGGGGTCTTAGCGCATACGTCCCTACCTCATGTGGACTTACCCTGGTCAGCCAATCTAAATTAAACCCATCCCCCATTCTTTTAATCCTCTAGCCTTCTTTCCTTTCTTTTAAGCCCTTACTCTGTTCTGAAATTACCTTGTTCATATATTTGTTGATTTGCTCACTGTCCAACGCTTCCTGTAACAAGACACACAAGTCATACGAAAGCAGAGACCACATCTGCCTTGTTTGTCATGGTATGTAGCAGGCATTCAATAAATATGTGATGAAGAAATAATTGAATAATTGGGGCTTATGTGGCTTTATTTTATTTAATTTATTTAGAGAGAGCAAGCGAGCCAGTGAGATGGGGGGAGGGGCAGAGGGAGAGGCAGATGGAGAATTCCAAGCCAGCGCTGCACTCAGCGCAGACCTGATGAGGGGCTTGATCTCACGACCCTGAGATCATGACCCTGAGATCATGATCTGAGCCAAAATCAAGAGTCGGTTGCCTAAGAGACGGAGCCACCCAGGTGCCCTTCATTTGGCTTTTCTTTTTAAAAAACATAATTTGCCCTTTCTTTTGGTGATTTGGTTAGTAAATCTCAATTCGTCAGATCATTCTGGCTTCTTGCCATTGCACAAAAGACATTGGAAAATCGTAGATGGTACTTAACTGTGCCATCTTATCTCAGAATCATACTTTTATTAGTTTGTTAGGGCTGCTTTAGCAAAGTATCACAAATTAGGGGGCCTAAACAACAGAAATTTATCATCAATCAGCTCTGGAGGCTAGACGTCTGAGATCAAGAAGTTGGTGAGTTTGGTTCCTTCTGAGGGCTGAGAGAAAGAGAGTCTATTCTATGCCTCCTCTTCTGGTGGTTTGTCAGCCATCTTTGGCACTCCAAATAAGGCCACATTCCAAGGTACTCGGGATTAAGACATCAGCATATGAATTTGGAGGACACAAACCCCTAACAATATTGAACACCCAGGATGGTAGAATATGGTATTAGGTAGAGCCACAAAATTGTTAAATTTGTTTTTTCCCCATCAGGATAGGTAAACTTCAGTCCAGGGAAACTTAGACTTAGAAAAACAGCCGTGCTTAAGTGAACACTCAGACCCATGGCAGGACCATGCTTAACACAAAGTCCCCAGTCAATAAATATTTGGTGAATGAATGAATGTGGGGTACTTCTAAATGACTTGCTCCCTAAGTCTTTGTTCCAAAGGTCAGGTGACAACTAGCTTGACCATTCCCTTAAAATCACCCCACCCCAGCACTAATCTCCTTTTCCACACTTAATTTCTCTCTGTAATACACCTTTTATTCAACTGTATTTTACTTATCACATTATTGCCTGTTTTCCTTCACTAGACCGTAAGCTCCATAGGAGCAGGAGTTTTTCCTGTTTTTTTTTTTTTTTAATTTGTTTTTTTACTTTTGTAGGTATCAGCACCTGTTTACAGTGCCGGACACAGAGTAGGCCCTCTATTTCACTGAGTGAATGAATGGTCTCTGGAGAGAGGTCTGGAATCTCTTGGCATGTTTTCCTTGCATCTGTCCTCATTCTCCCTAGAATCTCAGCACAAAGAGACATCTCAAAGTTCAAGCCCCTGTCTCTGATGCTTGAATTCCCTCCAAGACTGGGGACTACTTGGTAACACAACTGTCTTTGGCTCAGAGCCCCAGTTTTGATGATAAAAGAGCAAAGAATGGAAAGTGTTATATGATACACAAAATAATACGGTATGCGGTAAGTGTGTGCATAGAATAAAGGAATGGGGAAGAGAGACAGGAAGGCTTCCATATATTAGCTCAAGCAGTAGGCTCAGAAAAGGGCAAATATACTCTGGAGCGCAGCTGGGGCAGGATGACGCATTATTTTATATCAATGCAGAGTTAAAGGATCAGAAGATTGTAAGACAAACCCTGAACAGTGAACAGCTTAGTGGTATAGGGTAATGCTTCTCAAACTTTATGCATATACTAACCACCTGGGGATCTTGTTAAAATGAAGTTTCTGATTCCAGGGTCGGGTCTCGAAGTCTGCATTGCTAACAAAGTCTCCGAGGGTGCCTCTTCTAGATTACACTGTGAATATTAAAGAAAGTGGATTCTGCAACCAGACTTGCTGGGTTCAAATTACACACAGTTACCGCTGATGAGCTGCGATCTTCAGTAAACTAGTCTCTTCGTGCCTCAGTTTTCTTATCTATAAAATGGAGATCAAATGAGGTATTCTCTGTAAAATAAATACTATTTAAAAGTCACGGATTATTAGTGTCACTTCACTTGGAGAGGGGAAGAGGGCTTAGCATGGAGTGCCAGTCAAAGAAGTCTTAGCCGTACTTTCATAATTTTTAAAATAAGAAAGTATTCCAGTATTGACGTGTGTGCGGATTTCCCTCCTCTCCCATGCAAGCAAGTTACATAAGAAGCCGGATTAGTTAAGCCTGTGTTACGCTCAGGGCGTCTGAGGAAGCCTGTTTGCAAACCGTTTTGGGCCCTCGGATGGGGACACCCTGCGTGGGGATGGTTTTTGATTGGGAGCCGAACCCTAAATTCCACTCCCTTCTGCAGGGCTCACGCGGCTCTCAGGTCTTCAGAAGGAATACCTTTCCCCAGCACCTGCCTGCGGAGTGGTGGCCACAGCGAGGCGCTCGGGAGAGGCGCTGGGAGGCGAGCGGGGGCGAGGCGGGGAGGGCGAACGAGCCCGGGTGCGGGGAGCGAAGAGGGCCGGCCCACGTGGACCCCCGGGCGGGGCGGTAGGGCAGGGGCGGCCGGCGGCAGGGCCAATCAGCGCGGCCCGCGGTGAGCCCGGCCCCTCCCGGCCCGCGCGCCTGCCGGCTCGGCTCCGCACTGCCAGCTGCGCGCGGCCCGGACGGGGCGCACCGACCCCGCGTGCGGCTGCGGCCAGACCCCCGGAGTGAAGTCGCACCCGCGCTTCTGCAGCCGCTGCTTTTCTGCGGCAGTTTCGGACTTGTCTTCGGAGAGACCTGGGAACTTTCACAGTGAGCCTGCGGAGGTGATGGGCCACAGCCGGGGCGCCCGCGGGGAGGTGGCACGGTGAGCATCCTCCGGCTGCGGTGCCGAGATCCGTGCCTCGTCCTGGACGCGCCAGCCCGACTTGGATGCGGCTCTAGTCAAGTAAGAAGGGTTGGAAGGGCAAAAGAGGGGTTGGGAAGACCGGGTTGGGGTGGCGCTGGACCCAGTGCTCAGTCTCTGTCTCGTGGGCGGCACCTGCCTCTCAGGCTGATACCGACTTGACTCGGCTCGGGGCAGCGCCCCTCATTCCGACGCTCATGAGTTGCGGGGGTGACCTCCTGTGCGGTAGTTGGTTGGCACCCCGAAGTTGGAAGCGGCGCTCCTAAGTGGGGTTGCGTGGCTGGGGCCGGGCAGCGGCCGCTGCCAACTTCGGGGTTCATGTCTGCTTCTCACAAATCCCCGGGGTGCTCCTTGGGGGCGAGAGAGGCCACTTGATGGATTTAGGTATGAGGAGGGGGAGCGCGAGCTCGGGGTGAGCGATAGTTTTGGAGAAGCCGGCCTTGGGGCTTCATCCCTTGGGTCTGAGCCTGGATCCTTATAGGAGCCGCTTAGCCTACACCTGCAGCCCCGGTTGCGGGGCTCTTGCTGGAAGGACGCTGCGTGCACCCGGGGCGCATCTTTCAGCTGAAGCGCTAAGCTTGCCGCCCGAGCAGAAAACTAGAGCGGGTCTGGAAGTTCTGTCTCTTCCCCCTTTAGGCACCTCGGATTTTTCCACCAGGCCGGAGTGGCTACGTTGCTTCGCCTCTTTTTCAGACCTTCTGTTGCCTCATTTGCCGTGTCAATCCGCTCCTGGAAGGAAAGGCATCTTTTAATCCTAAACTCATGGCTTGGGAAGGATGGGAGGTGGAAAGCCTGGTATCCCGCACCTAGGGAGGCAGCCGACGCCAGCGCGGTGCCCCTGGTGCGCTTTTCTCCTGAATCAGTAGCGTTTAACGTCTGGGGGTTCCACGGACGCCTTAGCCAAGCTGTGATTCAACTCCCAGGAAGATGTACATGCACAGGTTCATGGACTCGCTGAGAACTCCCCATGTGCCCACATCCCTCCACCCAACCAGGGTTTAAGGACCCCCCTTGATGAAGCATCTGCATCCCTGTACTCTTTTCTCCTTTAACTTTTCTATGGCCGTCCCTCCAAAGCTAGCAAGGTTGATGTGATGTGACAGGCGATTCCTGTGTGTGGGGATGGGCGTGTTCAAAGCCTTGGTTGGCTTCTTTCTCTAATGTCCTTGGTATAGAGATTATCCACACCAGCCCGAAAATTCCACCTGCACACCCAGACACCCACACCTGCCCAATCACAATATAATCAGTGTTTTCCACTTGGTCATTCTTGAACAGATGTATGACTTAAGGAAATTCTTCAACAGCTCGCTGTGGGTTTACAGTGACAAGCATTCCTGCTAAGTTTGTAGTCATAAATCAGTGCACAAGCCTAACACTTCCTTTGGATTGGAAATACAGATCTTAATAAGGCAGCAGGAGAACAGTTTTCAGAATCATCATGACTAATGATGACTTATGTCCTCTCAAACTGACCGCGTGAGTTGGCATTGCTCATTTGTGCAAACAGCTTTCTTCATATGTGTGGACATTTCTTGATCAATAATCTCATAAAGCTGTATTTCAAGGTTTCCTCTCTCAGTTCTGCTCATTGTTCGCTTTGAGTGACTTTTCTGTCTTCCCTCTGTGCCATTTTAACTACCTTTGACACTTTAAAATTTATTACAAGGTTTTAAGTCACGATTTGACTTGGCTAATTTTCCCTGTTAAAGATAAGGAAGTTGCTGTTCCCAGAAAAGTAATAGCTACTAGTTCGCTTATTTTTCAATGACTTTAGTTTTTTTTAACTTGTCTCCCAAACACACAAAAACCTTACAAATATCTCTACTTAATTACTGAATATTTTTCATTGGAGGCAACATTTCCGTATTTCTAGTACTAGAATGTTCTAGGTCACTTGAATTTCAATATTCATTTTTTGCTTTTTTTAGAGATGTGTATTGTTTGATGACCTAGTTCCATTTAGTCTAAAAAAAAAAAGTCTTTGTCCCCTAACTCCTTTTCAGTGGCACATAGCCTTTCTCTAATAGCTGTTTTTAACTGCACAGCTTATTTATTGTTACACTTAATATAATACTTTGTTATGTAAATGATGTGTTGATGCATATGATATTAAAACTGCATTCCCTGGGGATTAACCCCTGGGGATGACATCATTGCCAGCCAATCCTCTATCTGATTTGAACATGCATTGACAAAAGTCACATTATCTTATTGAGCAAGGGTTTCTATATTGCCTGTGATGAATAGGAGAAAGAGGAAAGTCATTTTGGCTCTTTCTAACTCTCAATTAGCTGCCCAGTTGGAGAGTTTTGGGGATTTCTATACTAAGAAGCTTAGCTTAATAAAATTCTCAGATTGCAGTTTATAGATCTCCTTAGAATTTGCAGAAGTATGTTTCCCCCTTATGCCTCCTCTTCTTTGGAAGTTTTTTATGCTACATTTTTGCTCTATTTCTTTACTATTATGGAGAGACATCATAGTAAATGGACTAGTCTTTTGAGTTTTTTTTCCCTCAAGATAGATGGAACATCTGGATGATGGATTCATTTGTATACACGTGTGCATTTTATCAGGTGTTGGATAAATAAATCTGCTAGGATTGGCAAAATGACTTAAAGTCCTAGAGCCAGTCGTAGATGACTTGGAGATCATACAGTGGACTTTCTCCTGATTTGTTAGAGAGATACAGGATTGAGGGTGAGGGACAGGCAAGAGGAAAAACATGTCCACAAAAGGATTGGCGAAGGGATCTTGGACACATTAATCACTTCATAGCTATTTGTCTTGAAAACATTATTAGAAAAAGCTCCCGGCCTTCCTAGCAGTCCTTACTTATAGACATAGGCTTGAGTTACACTTTGGAATAATAGCGCACTCAGTTCGTGATCTCCGGCAACCCCCCTCTCACAAGAAAAAATTAACTTTGGCTCCCCATCTATTTGATATCTGCTGGAACAATAAAAGTTAACTCTTTGTGGTTTACAGTTGCTAGTCAAGCTAAGTCCATTTTCTTCCATAAAGTCAGTGAAAAGGGCTCTTGTGTGTGTTTTTCAAACGTAAGTTTAATTGCATAATCTGGTTTAAAGAAAGACTCAAAGCTCACAGAATTTTAAATCTGGAGAGTACCTCCGGAGTTCAGTATTCTAAAAGATCAAGGGTAGAAGGTGTTATGACTTAAGTCCATTACGGTGTAAAAAGAACTGGGATCCTAACTTCTAGCCCAGTGCCCTTTACTGACTTTTCCGATAAAGGCCTGCAGGATGGTGGAAGGACCCCTCATTTCATCCATCTCTGCAGAGCAGAACCATGTCCACCTCTCTCGGTATCAGGGATCAGTTTGTTAGAATGTTAGGCTGATTGAACCCAGTTCAGGGATTTGACAACTGTATGCACCAGCTAGCCTGGGCCACTTCCTAGTAGACATCCTAGTATCTGCATTTACAAAAGAGACACTTAAAGGGGCGGTGGCAGTGGAAAAGAATGGGGTCGGGTGACTCAGTTTGGCCCTATTTGAGCACGTGGAAAGACACAAATGTGAAAATTAAGATAAGGCATGATGTAAGGTTTGAGAGCTCAGAATATTAATTTATTGTGTGATCTGTCTCCTCTGTCATACTTTGTGCTTTTCAGCTGCTGTAAAGCCAAACTGGTAATTTGGAATAAAACTCTATTTTCTGGCATGGTTGTGAGTAATGGTAATGGTGCCCTGCATTTGTTGAACACTTCAGTGTGTGTCAGGTGTAGAATGTTGATGTTAATGAAAATCCTGGTTAATAAGTGGCTTTCTCTCTGTGAATGAACTACTGATGTCCAAAGAGTCATGAATCTAAAACCTTGTTGAATCTCTTTTGTCACTCTTTTTAATTCAAAAGATGTCAGGATCTTACAGTAAGCAAGTCATTAGCATGAGCATAGATAATTTTAACTCAAAAGCATGGTATTGTCAGATGTTAGGGAGTTCTTGTTAATAAAATGGCAAATAAAAATAAGACACTATATTTAGAAAGGTAGATAGTAAAGATATTGCTAATTTGTCTCCTTTCATAAGATTGTTTGTATTATTGCAGAAGAATAAAATACCTCTCCTAGAAAAATGCCCTTGTATTTCTTATAAAGAGAAAACACTAGGCTTTTTTTTTTAAGTAAAAATATGGCATTGCAGAAAAAATAACCTATGTGGGTTTTTTGTTTTTTGCTGTAAGTTTATTTCAAACTAGAAAGCAATTGAACATTTCCGCAGCATTTCGCTTGTCTTAACTAAAGGTGGAACTGTCTAAAGCCGGTGTTATTATTCGTTTTTAAATGATGATTGCATCTGCTTGAATTCTCTGTTTCCTATCTATGCCACATGTCCCAAAGTTTTCTCTGAAAATTCAGTTTTATTTATTTTATGCAATTTTATTTGATCTTCTGCTTAATGAATCCTGAAAATATTAATGAGACTTTGGTCTGCCATAAGCACTTCCCTGTGCATCACTGGGGCTAAAACTCAAACTTTAGGCACAGGGTTTAAAATAATCAAAGAAGGTTTCCAGCAAGGAAGAAACTTACGGACCATCTAGTGCAGTGGTTCTCAACTGAGGGCAGCTTTGCTCTGTAGGGGACCTTTGCCAACATCTGGAGACATTTTTGGTTGTCACAGCGTGGGATAGAATTAGATTGTGGTGTGCGGAGGCGAGAGGTGCTGCTAAACTTCCAATCAGGCATAAGGCAGCCCCCACACAAAGAACTCTGCGGCCCAAAATGTCAGTGGTGCTCAGGTGGAGAAACGCTGGTCCAGGGTGACTTTTTGGGGCCCAGACCAGTGAAATGGCTTGTCCAGCGTCCCCAGATCCCTATTTCTGGCAGGGAACTCAGGTCTCTAATGCATAAGTAGGATTCTTTTCCTCACTCTAGGCTTCTGTTTTGAAGATGTCTTTTGTTTTTGATTTCTTTAATTTATAAAGATAATACATGTGTGGGGTAGAAGATTCAAACACAGTAAAAGAGTATAAAAAAGAAAGTGAAAAACGAACCCAGTTCTGCCATCGAGATAATAC